AGAGCTTGAAATTCTTCCAATCTCCGATGTTACTCAACGCATGAGTTTACTTCTGAAAACATTTGGTTGCTGGAAAATGGACGGTCTGGGTTGCACTGCTGGTACCACCACCGCTTCTCTTTCGAAGAATTGTTTGCTGCTTTCTTCAGTATCAGCATCAAAGGCAAAGGTGAGAAGAAGACCGGCGGGAAACATTTCTTTCACCAGAAAAACAAGTAAATTCAGGGTTTGGGCAGAAAAAGAAGAACCAAAGCTCGATAAATGGGACCAAATGGAGCTCAAGTTTGGCCGCTTGATTGGGGAAGATCCCAAGCTCACCCTAGCTAAGGCACCTTCTTCCACTTCTCTTTTATATTTCATGATTTAATTTTTTTGTTTGTTTTGAGGTTTTTGCTTTTCTTTTTAGAAGTTCTTTTCTTTCTTTCTTTGGAGTTAATACCTTTAATGGCAAAGGAAAAATATGGGTTTTTCAGATAATGGGTAGAAAAGTTAATCCAGAAGCATCTTATCTGGAAATTGAGAAATCATTTTACAAGAACAAGGGGAAAGAAGTGGAAATTAAGGAAGTTCCATTTGATGTTTCTAAGGAAAAGAAATCATCTGGTTCATCAGATGGTTTGAATTTGGTTCGTCCTGTTCCAAAGAAAGGATTTGAGTATGAAGCTGATGATAAGCCAGAAGTGTCTAAATTAGAGAAACCAACTCAATCAGATGGGACGATGGTGGATGGTGCAAGGAAAGGTATGGTTCCAAATGTTATTTTGAGAAAGCCAACCGTGTTTAATGAGGATGATGTTGAAGATAAGAGACCCCGATATAGGGTTAAACCAAATTTGTCTTTGAAAATGTGGAAGGAACAAGAAAGCGAGAAATTTAGTGACATAACATTGTTGAAAAAGCCAGAACTGATGAGTGCGGATTTGAATATTGATAAAAAGCAGGAGTCTTTGTATGGTGATGTAGAAGCTGAAGTTAATGAAGATGACATTGGGTTGAAAAGAGATGAAGAAGGAGGAAATGTGGTTGGTGGCTTTACATTATTAGAAAAGCCAGAACCAAGAGGTTCTGAGACAAAGTTTGGTGAAAAAGAAGAGCAATTTGAAGATGCAGAAATGAAACCTGACACTGCAGCAGAGTACAATTTTCAGGAACCCATAGAAGCCATAGGTGTCTCAGTTGTGAAGAAAGGTGAGATAGAGGATAAGAACATAATTGGTAATGCTTCATGCATTTCTTGTACTTTGGATTTTGTTGGTCTGTTGTGTCTAAGTGTGGCTTGTTGGTTACACTACTAAGACCAATGCTAATCCCAACCCCTTGCCCCAAGGGGAAAAAAAGGGACGAGAAAACAGTTTCACCATGCAAAGTCTTGTTAGCCCTATCATTGTGAGCATTAATTTATATTTTTCCACTTTTTCAAGGAACGCAGCAGCATGAGCAGAGCGATAGTGACTGGGCTAGAGCGGAAAGTCTACTTAAGACTGGAGAGAGGACAGAAGTGGAGTTTATAAGCTCTAGTACCAGAGGTTTTGTTGTAAGCAAACCTTCCCCTTTCACCTTGTGTATATTTGCAAGCCTATAAATTCTCTTCTATTTTTCTTTTTGACTTTGTGCTTTTATCTTGCAGGTATCATTTGGCTCCTTGATTGGATTTTTACCTTACCGCAACCTGGCAAGTAGATGGAAATTCTTGGCTTTCGAGTCGTGGTTGCGGCAGAAGGGCTTAGATCCATCAAAATTCAAGCAAAATTTAGGTGTCATTGGAAGTTATGATGTTATGTACAGAAACTCCTCTCTTGATTCAAGCATAGATACAAAAAATGATCCAAAGTTTGAGGCAAAAATTTCACCAGATATGAAATTGGAAGATCTGCTTAGAATTTATGATCAAGAGAAGCTTAAATTCTTATCATCTTTTGTTGGTCAGGTTTGAAGAAAATAATTTGATATTAACTTCTTTTTTCTTTTCCTTTTTTTTTTTCCCTCCATTTTAAATATTGATAAAGTTAATAATGTGCAGATAGTCAAAGCAAATGTGGTCATTGTTGAGAGGAGGTCAAGAAAACTGATATTTTCTTTGAGGCCAAAAGAAAAGGAGGAGTTTGTTGAAAAAAAGAGAAATGTTATGGTGAGGATTTATATCGCTTTCAATGTTTCTAAAGTGCTTTTAGAAGTTCTTCAAAGCCTTATCATACTTAGCAGTTAGCAGTAATAAACTAATAAATATTCTAAGACATTGTATTTAAGGTTCTTTTCAGCCATTGCTAGTGTTTAAAATTAAATAACATACTGCAAAGAAAGCTGTTTGACTGAATCTGTTTCTTTTCTCTTCATGTTAAAGTCTTCTTTACAATTAAGTGGCAAATTTATCAAAAATTTATGAAAGAAGAAAATTGGCTGCAATTAATGTGAGTAAATCTAATTCTTGAAGCTTATGTGCGCTTTATCATTTGCAGGCTAAACTTCGCGTAGGTGACGTTGTAAAATGCTGTGTGAAGAAGATTACTTATTTTGGCATCTTTGTTGAGGTAATTAAATGCTAGTATCTGTCAGGAATGAGTTTCTGATTTCATGGAAGAATAATTTATATTTTATAGGCTTGTTATGCAACTACAATTATTTAGGTATTAGTTTGCAGTTTTTAAAGGAAATATTTAAGTATAGGTTATTATGGAAGAATGATTAATGTATATCTGGAGCTGAGTCCAGGACTCTGAGATCATAAATCCTTGCACATTTTTAATCAAATTTTAATCTAAGTCTACTGGTATAGGTTGAAGGCGTGCCTGCGCTGATTCACCAGAGTGAAGTATCGTGGGATACAACCTTGGACCCTGCATCATTTTTCAAAGTTGGTCAGGTCTGTGTCTTTGTTTTACCAGTTATTAGTATTTGTTACTATTATGAAGAATTAGGTTAATAGTGGATGGGCAGAAGTTATGGATCTTCCTGGATTGTCTTATAAGCTTTTGTTTGCTTTCTCATACTACTTTGTTTGTGGCTAAACATAATGAAGCACTTTTCTCATTGCCCATGTTTCTCATCTACCTACTTCTACACTTAGTTTGGTTTTCATATGGTCATTTTTGTTTCAGATTTTGGAGGCAAAAGTCCACCAATTGGATTTTGCTCTTGAACGTATATTTTTATCATTGAAGGAGATAATGGTATTTGATACACCACTTGGTCTCTATATTTTACAATTTCTATAGGTGATTAAGGAAATATATAACATCATATTGATTCTATTGACCATACAATACAGCCAGATCCACTCATTGAGACCTTGGAGTCTGTGGTTGGAGGTCATGTTAAGCTAGATGGAAGATTAGAAGCAGCACAAGCAGATACTGAGGTTTTTCCTCTTTAACCCTCTCATGGCAGCACTGGTTCTATTCTGTCCTCATTTTGGTAATTCAAGTTATGTAACTGAAAGATGAAGTTACTAATACCATAAATGAATTGGCAACTTTGTTTCTAAGAAAAGACATTATAATGAAGAGGCCTTGACTGTAAATCATGGAAGTATGACAATCTCTAGGCTTGGTCGTTTGGCAGTTGAGAAGGTAAAGAAACAACCATAGAAGCTGTTTGTAATTGATGGATGACATGAATGATATATGCTGTCTATTTAAACTTTTTCTAGTGATCTTCATGCCAGGATCAATGATATTCTGGTCGCTTATTATTTTATTGTGTGTGTGATTTAAGCTTAAAGGAAGTTGAAATCATAAATTGAATTATTGTCTTCATTGCTGCTTTATACACGGTTTGCCATGGCCAATCCTGACCAACTCTTTTTTAATTGCAGTGGCCTGATGTAGAATCACTTATCAAAGAACTGCAACAGATTGTAGGTATCCAATCAGTTTTGAAAGGTCGATTTTTCTTGAGTCCAGGTTTAGCTCCAACATTTCAGGTATGGTAGCGTTAATGCCTAGACTGATGTATACAAAAAGTTGTCGAAGTTAAATATAATATTTTGCCTTAAAAGTACTCTCTTTTTCTCCCATCAACAAATTACTTTTGTACTTCCCTCAGTGCTAACCGTTAGTCCTTCCATTCATGACCTTAACGTCCTTATCTCCATCAAACATTGTTTTTTTTTTTTTTTTAACTTATTAAATAGTAGGACATTCAACAGAGAGTAATTTTTTTTTTTTCTCTATTTCTAAAGTATGTGCTGTGATCTCTCTTGGTGAAGGTCTACATGGCGTCCACGTTTGAAAATCAATACAAGTTACTTGCTCGATCTGGAAACAAAGTGCAAGAGGTAAGGTTTCGTTTAACTTACTAGTTCTGCAAGAATGCAGCATGTTCCTTGATTGGGCTTCGAAATTTCCATCACTGTGTTATAACAAGAATTGAATCTCAATCCTATGCTCTACTATCAGACTAACTTAAAGCAACCATTCCTTTCCTCTCTATATTCATTGTCTTACTATACTTGAATGCTTCAAGAATTTAAGGTCTGTGTCTTTATTTGCAGGTCATAGTTGAAGCATCATTGAGTAAAGAAGAGATGAAATCTACAATTTTATCATGCACCAATAGAGTGGAATAGCTAGCCTGTTCTGTGGCTCTCTTGATCAGTTCAGCTCAGCCTATTAGGATCAAGCTCCCATAGCAACCTTGGAGGAGATTAGAACCCGACTGATCCATGATTCGGCATCTAGAGATGAAAAAACCGTGCTCCATCTTCCTTGGAGAAATGGCAAAGAACATTTCACTCAAAATTTTATTTCAATAATTCTTTTATTACCCCCACATTGTCAAGTTTTTGCAAATTCTTTCCGGCTAGTGTACATGTAGAAAATTTCAAGTGAATGTTTATGTTATCTCTACAATAATTGTTGGACAGATATGACTGAGGATCCTTCCAAATCAAAACCAAAAGGGTCAATATGGTCATTAATGCGTCCATGTATAAAAGAAGAGGTTGCTGTCCATTGATGCAAGGATATGCCTCCAATCGTCAATGGCTATGAAAAATGTGGTTATAAAAAATGTAATCCGTGTAGGATGGATTGCTTGTAAGATATTTTGACAAAATACTATTAAAATAAAATGAAAATGTTTTATGGGTTAAGTTATTGTTATTATTTGTGTTGTTAAAGTTATTGATTTATTTATAATTTTGTTAATTTATAATTTTTTTTTAAAAATTATTTATAAATTAATTTTAATATGTTAAATAATAAATGTGAATTATTTTTAAAAATTAAAATAAAATAAACATTTAATATTTATTAATAAATTTAACAACTATTGATGATTTTAAGTTTTTAACCCATTAAAGACGACCACGAGCAAAGCCAATACTTCCGGGAGAATTTACAGTCAACATTGGACTTTGATCACTGACTGCTGTAAAGGTCAAGAATCAAGATATTTAGAAAAAGACTTCTTTTTGGTCTGTAATCTTTCTAATGTAATAATCAAAGACAAAGCCCTTTGCTTTCTGTAATGTTGGTGACATGTCCTGAAGACATAGGGAAACATTAACCATGCACATGGGCAATTTTCATTGACGAAAATACCCTTGTCCCCCCATTGAGCTGTGTCCCAACACAGGACACTCGGACATTTCTTATTCTTGAAGTGCAATTGCCATTTCTCAACACCATACAAAGTACAGGCACACAGCCGCTCTCTTCTTT